CCCCAAAACCCCAAAACCCCAAAACCCCTCTAGTATAGTTTAACTTCTATTAAGAAATAAAAAGTAAATAATTAAGATTCATGTAAATATAAGTTATTTCGGATAGCGAATTTCTCAGTAAATCCATATGTAATATCAATAAAAGTTTTCTGCAATCTAATGCTCTTTTGAAAATATATCCTATGAATTATTTGTACTTATGTTATTTGGTTGAATTAAAATGTTTGACTTCTATGACTAATCTAGCATAATAGATGAAGAATTGATATTGCTAACTTGATTAGCTTTTAATGCTCTCTTTGACAGGATTGATTATCTGCCCATTAAAGAACTTTCAATATAGTCTGAAGTCATTTTATTTATGTTTTGGTTATTTATAGAATTTCTTCTTGGCGGAAAATTATTATTCATTTTCATTGATGGACTTGTAGTCTGACTGTAATTAGTAGAGTCCTGATGCACACTTTTAAGATTGATGCTTCCATTGAGTCTCTTTTGTTTCTGATTCTAAAGTCTCTTAGTCATATAGTCGGAGGTTTAAACACGATTCACTTAATCTTAAAACTGCTGGCTCACATTGCCGAAATTCCTCACAGTCTCAATATCAAATACTGTTTGTGGTCTCTGATAGTTATGAGTACCCTATGAACTTTAATTAGTCATTTAAGTTTGAGCATTTCTTTGCGGATTATTTTAGGCCTTGATCTACACCCTGAATGAAGGATAGTTAGATTCAGTTTCTGCAGACATTTCATTTTTAATCATAGGCGTTTTAACACTTTCTTAAATAAGACTATCATTCATTGGATTTCTAGGAGATACATTAATTGAATGAGATTTTGGCACTTTTTCATATTTATAAATCTCTATTCTGTGAAATCCTTAATCTCTGCTAAACTTGAGTAACTCTCTAGGCCTTTTTATAATATTTTTAGCTATCACTAGCTCTTTCTTTAAAATCTCTATGTATTCGTTCTATCTTTAATTAAGCACCTCATTAATACCCAATTCTTTACTCATCTCAAATTTATATTGCTTCTTCTCTTGTTCATAAATTCTCATTGTTTCTTCATATTCTTTTCTAAAATCAGAAAGTTACTATTCAAGCTCCACTATTTTGCTTGAGTTATCTTCAGACATTTATCTGATTCGGTGCTCCAGAAATGCTATCTTGTTTAATAATGTGGCTTTTTCTGCAAACCATTGAATAGTTAGTTCCTTAAGTTGATCGAATTAATCTCTTAGATATTTATTTTCCTCCAACAGTACTTCATCTTTAACTTTTAGTTTAAATACATGCATTTTCTTATCTTTGACCATTTCTTTTTCTTTTTCTCTTGGTGTGTTTTCTGCAGAATTCACAATGCTTATCTTTCTTTGATCATCTCCTAGAAATTTTAGACCCTAATGAGAACTTTTATTACTAGCTATATTTGATTAAGAAAAGGTTGCCTCATGTTTATGATGTCCTTCAGCAACACTAGGGGTTAAATTTGACTCTGCTTCTAATGAAACGATTGTAGAAGTAGGTCTGAGAGTTTGATTAGGGGTAAATCTACTAAAGAATTTCTCTCTTTGGTTTTTTTCTCCTTGCTATTTAAAGTTTTAAACAATCGAGTGAGGTATTATTCCTCCACCTTGAACTGTATTAACAAATACAAAAAGCTCAAGTCCTTAATAATCCCTATTAGCTATCTTATTTCTAACTTCTTCAATGTACTATTCCTAAGCACAAATTATCTGAGAAAGTTTGTTGAGAATTTTATCTCTTTAGATGAGATCTTATCTTAAAAATGTTGTCTAATCAAAGGTCAATTGCACCTCTTTTTGAACGAGGTCCACGAATTTTTCAATGATACTCCTATAAAAGTCTCTCATTTTATTCTCCATCTGTACAGCGATATTCTTTTTTTCAATGATTACTCCTTTTTTTACCATTTCAATTTTTTTATATGCTCTGAGTTTTTCGTCCTCAAGTTACTTTATCTTAAGCATGACCCTCTTACCTACTAGGGTTTGCTGTAACCTCCTCACAGTGTCAAAATCGTCATATTTCTTTCCCAAGTCATTTAGAAAGTTCTCCACATTGTCCTTTGAACCTCCATCATTATTAAATGTGCTTGTCTACACCTACTGGGTAGTATTCAACTTCAAATCTTCCCAAAAAGGTACATTATCATCAACAGGGTCTTAAGACTTTTGTATTTCTTCATCAGAATCATCTTCATTGATAGAATCATAATTGCCGTGTAACCTTTTTTCCTTCTCTATCTATGGAATAACTTTGTCTTCTAAATGCATTTCAAATATTTGATCATGATAGTCATGGTTTGATAGCAAATCATTTCTAAAGGCTGGTGTGACATGATGATTTATCTAATCTTTTTAGTTTTCTTCATTTTCATTGGATGAATTTACATCACCCTCAATGACTGTTGGCAAACTAGTATTTTTCTTTTTTTCATCTAACTCAATTTACTAAAATATGTTCTATCTCAGTGTTTCAATTTTATGTTCGTTATAGAGGACCTCGTTTTTAAGTAAGTCCATATTTTTAAGCACCTTTTGCATTCTTATTTTACTCTCGGTCCATTACATTGACATTTCAAATAATTTACCAAACTTATGCAATAATAAATTAATTAATTTACGAATGATTCATGCTCGATTGTTTATTTATCCTTCAGGGGTTTTGGGGTTTTGGGGTTTTGGGG